CGTCGACTATTAAATCAGTCGTCGACGATTTTAATAGTCGACGTAATCATGATTAGTCGACTAATCGTGGCAGCCCTAGTGTGTATATACGTATATGTATGTGCAAAATAACTTTTTTGTCCCTTTTCCCAAACGGTAAAAAAATACATTTTTCCTGGCCAAAATATATTTCAAATATATGGTAAATATATTTTGTATTTGGGATGCTCCAAAAAATATATTTTTGAAATTGAAAATATATTTCTTTCAAACCAAAATACATTTCAAAACATATTTTAGGGTGAAGAAAATACATTTCCAACCTTACAGTAGAATGTATATCAAAGTATTCTTTATTTAAAATGTATTTAGTGCAATAATGATGATAATGATAATAATACTAAAAGTAACATGTTTTATGCACATCTGCAAAAAACAGTTGGATTCAAACAAAAGAGAGTCAAACGTCTATCACGAATCAGGTTGTTTATTAATTTGCTTACAGTATTTTACATTACACAATATCTCACTATAATGTAGCGTTCATTGACTTTGAAATTATCTGTCAGTGATACAGTAAACAAGATACAACAACTGCTATGTACACTTTAGTTTTTGACAATATATACAATATCGTACTTACAGGAACACACTCCACTTTTTTGGAAATAGGCTCATTCTCCATCTCCCTCAGAGTTAAAAATGCAGCGTCTTCTTTCTAGATCCATACGTTAATAGGACTCTGGAGCATGATCTTACGGGATGGGGCGTAGCCAGGATTTTTGGTCGAGGCGCCATATTAGCAGGCCAAACAAATGCTTGCTGTGTGGCCGGTTGTAATGTTAGATTGCACTACCGGCAAAGGAATAAGCTTGAAAACAGGCTCTCTTTTCATTGTTTCCTCACCTGGAAGCATCATGAGGGAGCTTATGTGTTGGATGTTACCAAAAGAAGGCGTCTAGCCTGGATAGCAGCTGTGAGACGAGCTGATATTCAGTTCTCTACCATCCCCAGATCTGTTGGTTTGCTCCAGTGTTTTCATTCAGGTAAGTTCTAAATAAGTTCATATTATTCTTTATAGCCTGTTAGTTTTATTTTCAATGCGCTCTGAGATCATAGAACAAACATGCAGAACCACCTTCTATTTATAGAGTTGCTAATTATTTGGCATTATTGCAGCAAACCAGCCTATGAAATGAATGAAATAAATCCTGACTGGGTTCCAACACTACACATGGGGCACTACAAAATCCCTGCTTCAAACTACATGCTACATACCACCATGCCAATCAGATTACTTCTTCCATGTGTGGGTAAAAAGGTGACCCTCCTGGATAAGATGGCAAAGGTTTGCTGCGTTTTGGTGAACATGTGCCCCAGTGTGGTAGTAAAACCAGGGGAAAATACTCTTGTTAAATACTCTTAAGTCTTGTGCTGTTTATGTAGTGATAAGTTTTCAAAAGAGACAGTAAATTACAGAATGCTAGCAGTGGGTGATATTGTTTAAATGCTGTCATGATTTTATGTGAACATTTTGTCATTTGTAAACTATACATAACATTGATTCTACATTGTAACTGATTTGATGTTCTACAAAGTGCTTTTAATTAAAAATAGGCAAACATTTCTTTGTTTCTTTATTCAACTTTTGAACAGTGGTAATTAGTAAGTACATATTCAGTAAATGCAAAGTATTTACATGGCCCCCTAAACTAAAACATTATGGGTTATTCAGAACAGAACTATGCTTGGAAAAATATTGTCCCATCAGTTGATCCAACTCCTCCACAGTAGCAGGTGGAACTTTTCTTTTTTGCCTTTTGCCTTTCAATACGGATGGTCTGTTTATGTTTTGATCAAGAACCTTTTTTAAGGGCAGCTGAAGAGGAGAAGTCTGTCTTATGGCCAACCTCTGGCTGTATCTTGGTCATATTACCAGGCAAAACCCAGTATGCAGGTTCATCTGTAACAGTCCTTGTGCCACAGATC